GGAAAAAATGGGCAGGAGATACTAGAAATAGAACTGAGATTGTCTTCCCTTGTCTTTTTATCAATGTGTTGGTTTGTTGGCTCTGCTTGGTCTTATTTATTATTTACTTATTCTATTTAACCCTTCAAAAGGCATATTTTCTGGCTCAGTTAAATAGAATTCTTATAACTAATGGGTGATTTATGTCCTAATGAGAGAGAGAGATTTATGGTACGTAGGAAGTTGTCTACCACCAGATAAGACTTCACCTAGTATTGTTTACTCCAGAAGTAAGTAACTAATAGATTCCAGAAGCTGTTGGACACCCAATTCCCATCAGCCCCAGCCAACAGAGCTTATATATGGAGAGCTGCTAATTCCCCAGTCACTGTCTACTTGGTTTGAAGCTGGTCTCTAGGAACCAGGGGCTTTTCTACCACTTGGACCAGATTATTTTTGAACTGGTAAGGAGGCCAGGAACTGAACCTACAGCCTTCTAATGTATATGTATGTATATCCTGAATTTGTTACATGCTGCCAGTGTGTATAATTGGGCTATACAGTTAGCACTTCCCTTTTACTGAAATGCTAAAACCTGGGCAGTGGTGGTGTCAGAGTATCTGCAGTATTATGAGTATAATTTTCAGCAAATTATGCTTTTCTTGTCTCCCACATCCATATATTCTAAAATAAAGTTCAATTAAATAGATTTATGTGTAGAAAGAATGTGAACTTTGTTTCACTCTGGTGTTTTGGACAGATTCCTGGGAACTGAATTCTAATTGTGTTCCCTTTGCATTATGCTCAGTCTAGCCCACATTTCACTAAGTCTCTAGATGGAGTTACATATATCTTTTATTTTATTTTGGGTAAGCACAAAGTTTATGGTAATCTGCTCGTTCAAGTGAATATTTTATCTGTGCTAAGGCATTACTTTAACGTTCCTAGTTTGGCTCACTGACAAATGCTCAAAATAGCTGACTCTGATGTGAGGCTGATTACCAGCTTTCAGAACATGTGGGGGTTTGTTCAGCGCAGCTATTTTTCACAAATCAATGGTGCAGCAGTGTTACTGATGCAGAAACTTTTAAATAGTACAGCATACAATATGGAAAGATGTTAATTAACACTGTGGATTATTATGCACATCTATAAATCTCAGCATATCTCAGTGTGTGTCTTTTAAATTTTCCTTTATTCTGGGATGAAGAAGTACTATTGATTATGGCTCACAAAAGAATCACTTCCAAAGCAGCTTTTGTTTCTTATCCTTCATCAAATAAGTTACATATTTCTCACACGTGGTCCTTCAGTTTTCTGTTTGTGACCCTGGGAGCTGAACATTGATGGCCAGTTTCCAGCCATGTTACGATGGGCAGAAGTAAAAATTATGGTGTAAGAACTAAAATAGGTAGATCACAATTAAAATAATAAAGTGGGGGATGGGGGGGGGAGAACCCACCCAAATTCCTCCCACCTACTTGTTCCCTAAAATTTCAAGTCTGTCTTTTGGTCATGAACAGTTTCCTGACTCCTTACAGTATAAAAACCAAGCAAATGACCAGTTAGCCCTATCTGCCAGAATTATATTAGAAATTAGGGCCTTAATCAACTATGAATCCATTTTATTTCTTCGTTTTGGGTTTTTCTTTTGCTGAAATGTTATTAAATGATGACTTCAGTTAAACTGCTGTTTAACTGAAACACTTACTTTAGTTCATGCTACAATTGATTTAAAGGAATGCTTTGCTCGGGGAAATGTCATGCATACTCATACCTGCACTATTTTGTGTGTCTTGAGCAACGTGGCAACACATAGCGATCTCTAATATATTTCTTTCTTATCGGGAGAAAATTGCCTTCTGCCTATAGAGACAGACCATTCTCCTCCACCTCCTGTCCTTTGTATGAGACCTCGAAATGACTGGGCAGAGTATGAATCATTGTTTCCTCTGCAATATTTTTCTAAGTAAATCTGAGTAGCCTATTTTTTTATTATTATTATATTGCATAAGCTTAAAGAGTACGAAAAAGAATAAAGATACAAAAGGCAAAATGAAAAATAGAACATAAGTAAAAATATTGTGAAGAGGAATTTTGGTGACACATTCTCCCCCTCCTATTTTTTCCCCCAATTACTAACCACTGCTTTATTTTTAATATTTAATATTAAACATTGGAGATCTTTGCTTATATCTGTTTAAGTCATTTCATCTCTTGTTTTTAATTAGTCTCTTGACTCTCTTCCTAAAAGCTGTATTCCAAATGTCTAAATCTGTCTTGCTGTGTAAGTTTTTTATATAAAGGAGCCATTCCTGCTTAAATCTGGTTAAACTCTTTTTAGAAATATATACTGCTAGTTTTGCCATTGATGCATATTCTCCAGTTTTGGTCTCCCAATCTTGTATTGTCAGCAGAGTTTTACTTTTCCAATGATATGCCAAGTTCATTCTTGCTACTGTCAGCATATTTTAATAAGTTGTGATACTTTTCATTTCTTCTTTCTGGAATCATTCTCAATAGAATTATCTCTGGTTTCCATTGAAATTTTATTTTAAAAAAATTCTCAATATTTTGATTTATTTTCTTCTAATATTTTTGAGGGTTGTTTTTTTTTTTTTTTGCGGCAGAGTTATATGCTATCTATAAAACATTTCATACCAATTTTCCCTCAGATTATAGCTTGGAGTGATTTTTTTTCCATAGCTCTTCCCATAGTTCCAAGGTGACTTACTTCTTTGAAATTTTGCATCCAATTTATCATGCAGTTTTTAATTTGTTCCATTCCCATATCATATTTCAGTAACAATTTATAAATGTGTCCCAATAAATTATATTGTTTCTGTATGGTCATTTCAAATTCTATCATCTTTCTCATGGTCCATCCTTCTTTCTTAAGGTCACTTTTTATTCTTCCAGCAATTCATAAATACATTAACCATAGTAAATTCCTACCTTCATTGAGCAACTCTTGTTGTGTCTTTAGTTTCTTTTCTGAATCTGGATGTAGCATATTAGCATATGTAATTAAATCTTCCTTACCATAGTTATCCTTGAAATAAAAAGCATTTGATGGTCTGCTAATGCTTATATTGCTGGGCTTATGTTATCCTTTACTATCTGTAACTGCTTTCCAAACAAATAACTGGGATCAAAATTCAAGGAAAGGATATAAAATGAAATACTGTGCAGATGGTGTAGTACTAACAATTATGTAAACACAAAGCTCTATAAGATGGTTGATGAAAATAATCAAAGACTTTGGTTCATTCTCTGGATGCACAACTAACAAAAAGAAAACAGAGACAATAATAAGGTACCTAACTTCTGAAGAAGAAGATTTTGTGAAGAAAAAGACACTGGCTGTGTTTTTCAGTTTATTGTTTATTGTTGTTGTTGTTCAGTCGTTAAGTCGTGTCCGACTCTTCGTTATTGTTTATAGATTAGTCAAATGACCATATCAAATGAGACTGGCTGTGAGATAAGAAAAGATCCAGTGAAATGTTTAGGCCATTAAGTTCCTTACTAAGTATAGTTTGTACTAAAAGAATGTACTTTTCCTTCAATTTTACTTTTCTTCCTTCTTATACTTCCCAAAATCCTCCAGTTCCACTCAGTTCCAGCATGCCATCTTTTCTGTCCTCTTCTACAACTCTAAAAACTCTCCAGACTTCACAAAACATTCTACTCCAGCCTCCCTCAGATTTCGTACATGCCACTTAATCTCCAGCAAAATCTTCCAGCATCTTCCTTAACATCTCTACTTTCCATCTTTAGTCTGTACTCTCCACCCTTCAGTGGACCATAAACAATCCCTTCCAGGAGTCTCCAAGAGCCTGCTGGAATCAGCACTGCCACATCTATGAACTTCCTGAAATGTTTTAAATCAGAAACACCAGCATCTCCAACAGCATTCCAGCCAGACGCAAGCTCTCCACTCTTAATTCTCTCAGCTCTTGCTGAGCCAAGTGACCTCCAAATTATCTCAGAGCTGGCAAAAATGGCCAACCCCTCCACTGGGAACTGCAACATAAATTTCACTGCCACAGTAGTTACAGCCATCTTCCAGTAATAATAAAACCAAACTCCATGAACACAAATTAAACACCACCCCCTAACTGAACAATCCAATGAAGACAAATCCCAAGTAGTTATCCACATGGGGGACAGATGTGTTCACCCAGGCACAATATAGATCTATGTATAGATAGATATAGTTGTTCTCCATTTGAACATTGCAACATTTGAAGGGGGTTATCTTGGAATCTGCCTTTGGCTCTGGAGTCTTAGGTTCTGCACCCTTACAATATGTTAAGATTATACTCAGTGACGGATGCCTCTGAATATCAGTTGCTGAGGAACAGCAATGGGAGAAGGTTGTTATACTCCATTCTGTATGTGGGCTTCCCAGAGGCTGCTGTTGGAAACAAGAGGTTGGGTTCAGTAGGCCCTGGATTTGATCCAGCAAGTTTTTTCTTTCATATTTGCTCAAATATAGTTGCTACTTTTGGAGTTCTTTGTGATTGAGGGATTGCTAGAGTGGCATATAGCCAGGCAAATATGCATGTTTCTATTTATTTCTTCAACAAAACCAAGTGTGAAATTGTGGAGGACTTTCTGCAGCTATGCTGTGGTGTAAAACAACCCTAAGATGAACAGACTGGGATCATCAAGTGTTGCATAGGCTAAAAATGGTGTGCAAAGATAAGTTTTTAAAAAATAGGATTAAATTGTAAGATAATTATTTTGAATGTCAGTTCAGAGAACAGCAGACATTGCAAAAAGACTATTATGATTCTTATTATGAGATCACATTTTTTCAAAACATAGGAAAATAGTATTGCCCTGTTTTGTCTTTGTAATCTGCCTTCTTGAAATTAGCCTTGTGTAGATGAAGGCATCAGTTGGTGCAATGCTTTCTTGTGCCCATGGTGAGGATTGAAGACCTTTCTGAGATGCTTTTGATCTTCTCGTTACCACTGGGCAAAAATGTCTTTTTAAAAAATTGAATTCATTCTCAGGCGAACCAGGATGCAGTAATCAGCCGAGCCCCTGAACAGAAAGACGATCGAGCCATCAGTCTCCAGGATGCATCAGCAGTTTATGATCTTCTGAGTATCACTCTGGGCAGAAGAGGACAGTATGTAATGCTTTCTGAGGTATTTATTTGTTTATTTATTTGATTTGGTACCACCCAACTTCAGAGTGACTCTCAATGGCTCACACTAGAATAAACAGAATATAAAACAATACAATAAAAACAAAACCATACAACAGAAAAACCAGACTACAAAAGTAGCAAAAGAACAAGATAGTGAATCCAGCAGACCACACAGAACAAATACCACCAACAACCATCAGGGGGCTCCAGCCACCTTAGCTCAAGGTCTGGGAGAACAGCCAGGTCTTTAAGGCCCTCCAGAATGCTCTCACATCTCAGACATCATTCCAGAGGGCAGATGTCATGACAGAGAAGGCATGCTTCCTGGGTTCTGATAGATGACACTGTTTGATTGAAGGAACTGGAGCATGCTAACCCTGTGAGCTCATATTGGCTGGCCAGAAGGTAGCAGATGTAGCAGAGGTATCACATGGGCATACTAAGGCATGCCCATAACTGCCTGCACCACTGCATTCTGGGCAAGTTGAAGCTTCTGAGCTGTCTTCAAGGGTAAGCCCCATGATTGTGCATCACTCTTGAATGAGGAAGTGCAACCCCTTCCAAAGTTAAAGATAGAATATTCCTGGAACCCGGTGGCTATAATACCCACAGCCACTTGGTTTTGGTAGGATTGAGTCAAAGACTGTTCCTCTCTATCCAGGCCTGGACAGCCTCCAGGCACTAGGACAGGATTGATAGCCTCACTTGGATGTCAAAATATATAATTGCGTATTGAACCCCAAACTGATGGATAAGTACTCATCCAGTACTTTCATATAGATGCTAAATAGGAGTGGAGACAGAATCGAGCCCTGTGGAATCCCACAAATGAAGGGCTTAGAGAGTGACCTCTCTCCCCCAACCACACCAATTGGAACTGGCTCCAAAGGAAGGAAGAGAACCAAGACCAAGTGGTTGTGGGTATTATAGACACCGGATTCCAGGAATATTTCATCTTTAACTTTGGAAGGGGTTGCACTTTCTCATTCAAGGGTGGTGCACAATTTGGGAGTCTTCTTGGACTTACACTCTGCTCAATGACAGGTGGCAACTCTGGCCAGAACCCTACCCTTCCCTTCCCTTCCCTTCCCTTCCCTTCCCTTCCCTTCCCTTCCCTTCCCTTCC